GATAAATAATTTAACTGATAATATGAAGTGGTAGTCGCCTTGGCAGGACAGAGATTGGGGCACTTGAGTGGTGCTGAACCATATTGGTTCAATTACCCAATCTCCGACTGACTGAGAGCTGCTGATGTGTGCTTTGCATACAAAAGCAGCTCAAATTTTGCACTAGCGTCCCTCATCAGAAGGACTCTCCAAAAATTGGACTGCACTGAAAAGTGCATTGGCAATCAAAGAGCTTTCTCCGATCCTACGTTTCCTGAAGAAGAGCTGAGGCAGAATAGAATTCAGAAATTTGAGACCATAAACGGTAGAACGGGTCCTCCTTAAACAGCTTCTTCCACATGAACTGTGCAAGATAGCTCAAGAAAAAAAAAAAGTTTGAGTTTATAAACTCAAGAAAAAATGAAAGAATTAAAAGGAAACGAAGTCAAAACACTTTTGCATTAAAACAACTAAGGCCTTTTAAAAGTAAAAAAAGATGCGCCGTAACTTCAAAATATATCCAAAAAATACAACACTGCCAGCAAAGGAGCACTTTTCATTATTGTTTCTAGACATACTAAGGAGCGACACAATATAGAGAAGAAGGTACTGGGGAACTAAAAAAGTACTACCTTCAACTACTGTTAAAAATTTGTAAATTGGAAAAGAGAAAAGTACATGTCAACGCTTTAACTTAAAAATAAGAGCAGACGGAACTTCACGCTACAGAAAAAAAAACAATCAAATTCAACATTTTACAATTTTGTTTTAACTTTTAAACAAAAACTCAAGAAATGCTCCATTGATTTACTGATTATAATCATTACCTGGCAAAGTAACTCTGGAAGTGCATCAAGTTGTGAAAATAATCTCAAAACAGGCTCCCAAAAAAGTTGTAATCGTGGCGGTATTACCCATACTTCATGTCCTAAAAGTTAAAAAACTAATGAGAATTTTTAAGACTGCTAAATATTGACATATTCCCGGCTAAGGCAAAAAAATTATTTACCATCATCAATGTTGAATCCCGCTACTTTCATCTGCTCGTCCGTCAAAATCAAATGTCCTTCAAAAAGGCAAGCTTGGACAAAATTGCTGCAATTCAAGACATGATTCATTTACACAACTCATAATTACCGTATCACTGAGAGGATATTAACATACATTTGATCTATTAACTTTGCTGCTTCAAAACTACAAAACTACGTCGGAGTCAGTAGCTGAACTCAAGTTAACTTCAAATGATATAAAACATTTGCCACCTTCTAAGCAACCATTTAACAGAAATACTTTGATTCAGTATACGCGCAACAGAACTCATGAAGACTTTTGAACAACAACGTTGTATAAATACGTGCTCTTACACCAAGAAATCAGAATTGTCTTTTTTTATTCCCTCCTCCAGCTACGAGACTCTTCATCCCCCTCCTTTCAAGAGCTCACGCGGAGATGGATATGTATTTGCAAGAGACATTAAACCACTTACAGAATGCAAAAATAGGGAATGTAGAAAATGTTTTAAAAATAAAGCATTCGCTACAATTTCTCGGATACAGAAACAGCCCTTTAAATAATAATTCTAAGAATTAATAAGCCGTTTCTCGATTTTATCTTTTACTGGAAAAATATTTAAACAAAAACGGACAAAAAAGGAAGTTACCCAACACTATCACAAAATACAGCTTTAAAGTTGTCTGTTCTTACCTAAACTATCCTGTACCACACCTCTGTCCCTCAAATATGCGAAAGAAAAATAATTTTTGTGTTACTCTTCAATATTAGCGAACTACGGACATATATCGCATGGTTAGGTTAAGGGACCCTCTACACAAGTTTTAGTAATTGTCAAAATTACCCTATCTCGCCCCTCTCACTCCTTTCCATCTCTAATTTCAGTTCAAAATACCGCACAGATAACAACGCATTTAAAAATGGCGTGTTTTATTTTCGTGCAAAAAAAGAGATACAGTCAAGATGTAAACATAAAGAACATGTAAATGAAGGAAAATTCTAGTTGACAACATTAAAGCCTAGTGTGTAATGGCAAGAACCTCTCTATTGTCGCTGCCAACAGGGTTTTGATTTTTTTTCGACAACTGCTCAATATTAAAAATGTTAAAAACTAATGACTTAATAAATATTGACAGATAAATTAGCTTGTACTGCACAGGAATTATCATTAGTTAATAAGTAAAATTTCAAATCTACAATCGTAAAAACGAATAGAGCTCAAATCTCTGCCGGTAAGAAAAGAATACCTTGCATCTGCAACAATAAAATTATACACTTCGTGAACAACGCCGCTGGAACGAATTTCTTGATCACTAACCTTTTTGTCGGGATGCTATAAAAAAGTAGTTGTATAAATGGTTTATAAAACATAAAAAATTGACTTACGTATTAACTAACTTTCATGCGGTAAGTTATGTACTTTGTAATAAGCCCGACCGCCTCCTCACAAGGGGTGACAGTCTCTTCTTTCATTACAGCATTCATTGCTTCCTCCACGGGACGACCCCAGTGTATTTCCTAAATCACAGTGATGGCAAAAAGTGCTTTAGAAACTAAAAGTTCTTGTTTATGACTGATGAGCTACTCTAAAAAATACTAAAATTTAAAACATTTCAGGAACCATGGGACCTAGTTAAAGAAAACAATTTGGTCTAAATATAAAATAAAATAAGAAACAATAATGACTTTTCAAAGTATATTAATGTTTTTAAAACAGAATGGGATTTTCAGGGAACTAGCAGAAACTAACTTCAAATCCCCTCAAGAAAACTTTTGTGAAATATCAAAAGCTCAGCAAAAAAGTAGTTTCCAAAAAAATTTCAAATTGTACTTTGTTAAACTGTAAATTATTAACATTTACCCAGAGCCAGTTGTGACAGAACGCTGCGGCCTTTCGGAATGTGGGAATAGAAGGAAAAAGCTTATGAGCAGCTGCATGTCTGACTTCTACAACCCAATCCGGAATTCCTAGCTGAAAGCACGTAATAAAAGGTGATTACACGAGCAACTTAGAAAATTTCATTATTTCTCAATTTGCCCGCTTCCTGATTGTCAAAAAAAGTGATGCTCGTCCACTGTAAAAAAAAAAATCGGCAATAAAGACCTCCAGTGGCTTTAAACGTTTGTATTAACGTCAACAGCACATACTGAAACTATCAATGTCGACAAGTCACATAATTTCCTTTCATACTAACCTCTCGAGCAGCATTTAAAACTGTTCGTGGAGACGACATATTCGACTGCCCAATTTCACTCGCATAATTGACAACTCTATACAGAAAGAGACACAGTTTTCCAAATCATTTTATCAGTAACGCACTTTAAATAAAGTTTTTCAAAAATCTTTTGAGAATTGCGATTTTTCTGCAGCCTTTTCATTATATCTATATAAAAGTATAGCAGGAGAACACCTGGCGTGATCATGATATAGAAGGGAGGAAAAATGTAATTCAGAAGAAATAATAAAACAATTGAAATAATGATTAAGTTGAAACACTTTTCTGCTGTTTTCAGCAAGCAAAAAATTCAAAAGATTACCTAATTATAACTGTACTATAAACGATACGAAGATAGCCAAGGCCAAACCAGTCTCTAGGATCAGTTTCTCTGTCTAAGATAATAGCTCTAAGAAGCAGTTCTGTCATTTCAGCCGCAACATGTACACTATCGCCTGCCCTGAAAAACTCTATCCATGAAACGTCCATACCACTGCTAATTGAATACTGTCATTACAGTACAACAAAAAACGATTCCAAAATGCATAATACTCAAAACAAACACATCACCAGCGAAATGGACAAAAAAAAAAAAAAAAAAAAAAAAAAAAAAAAAAA